AAGTTTCCGTACTCTCAAGTGATCATGTAAAATTGTATGTATTGCTTTCATGTCAATGCCTAAGGATGCCTGAATCTCGCGGTATGTTATATGCCGGTCTCGCTCAATCATTTCACGCACAGCATCAACATTAGTGGCAACAACAGACATGGATGAACGACCTCCACGGAATGCATCACTAAGAAAGGTACGTCCACGCTGGAATTTGGCAAACCAATTATAAACAGTCCTATTGGATGATGCTTCATCCCCAAAAGCCAAATGAAGTCGATCGATGCATTGTTTCGGAGTTAGATTATATTTGTAATCGTAAAAAATCATTGCCCGAAAATTTTCACGCGAAATTTCCATTTTCTTACAAAATAACTTCTTTTAAAATACTATGCAAACGAAACTAGTTGGCTTGGGTACAAACTGTCAATTGAATTATAGATTAAAAACATCTAATTTTATGGATATGATAGTAGCAGAATGTTGGCGTCACTGGAAGTACTAGATTGCAGAAACTTTTCCAGCAGAATAAAATAATTTACGCAATAAGTTCTGCAATTGGCTCTTTAATATCCTAAAAACTTGTAATTGTTTAAAGAAAAATTGAGTATTATTGAATTTTAAAATTTAAATATCTCAAAGTTAGGGTTGACAATTATCCGTTGATCCGAGTATCCGAATATCCGCGGGAAGATAGAAGTAGATCTGAGATAAAATATCCGATTAAAGATCTTTCGGATCCGAATCTATTTCAAACTGTTTAGATATCCGTTAAAGTTTAATGATTAAACCATTTATTATTCAGATTTCGGATCTCTCAACGTCTTTCTCTATATAGAATATGTATATATGTAGAGTAAAAGAATGAAGACGCAAGAGAGAGAGAGAGAGAGAGAGAGAGAGAGAGAGAGAGAGATTTATGATATAATGGATTCAAAATATTGGATCCAGATGGATTCGGATATCCGAATTCGGATCCGCAGAGTATTATATTTCAATATTCGGATATAGAACTCGAATAATATAATATCACTATCCGGATATCCAAATCCCCGGATATACAGATCCAGGCGCAATCGTCAACCTTAATTTTGAAATAGAATACGTATGTTAATTAAGTTTGCATACTGAAAAAGATATCAAAACAATCTTTTTTAATAAATAAAATCAATAAAATAAAATATGTGTGAATCAATAATATATCTCCAGGATGATGTAAAAATTTATTGGCGTCTAATTTAAACACACACACACAAGCTTCCACGCACGCATGCACACACGTACGCACGCACACGCACGCACGCACCCCCCCCCCTCTCACACACACACACACGCACACTTGTTTTATTTTAATGATTTATTTATTAAAAATGATTTGTTTGAAAAATGATTTGTTATTCTTTTCAGTATGCAAACTTAATTAACATACGTGTTGTACTTAATTAACATATGTGTTTTATTTTGAAGTGTTACTTTTGAGTTTCTAACATTATAATTATAATTATAATTATAATAATAATAAAAATTTGTAAATAGTGAATGTGAGGCAATATGTTTTGTAGGAAATCTTGCCTACAGCCTTATATGTTAGTATCCTGTTACGGCTATATCCCTGAGTTCAAGTGTTTTATGTCTCCGCGCACAATTTAAATTCTAAATGCTATGAAACAAAAGGAATGGGGATGATGATAGGTAAAATTGGTCAAAACTCGGCTGCAGGCATGCACTAAGATATTGCTAAGATTTGCCAAATTATCATAATTTCTAGAGCCTTTTGCACATGTCATTAATATCACGTTATCCGGAAAATTATCGTTCAAATCAGATATGGAAGTTACTTGTAATACCACATTAATGTTATCGTTATTTTTCTATAATTAAAATTTAGTAATAATGATGTTATGATTTTTGATTATGGCGATAACGGGTTAGAAATCATTTTAAAGGTAATTGTTAACATTACTCATTTATTGATTCGCAGGAGCAAAAAAATAACTCGTTACCTTAATTATTACTATAATTGTTATCTTATTATTAAGAACATTATATACATTGTATTTTTTATTGAAAATGACTACGTAAGGTTGGAATATTTGAATTTCATACATATATATAATTAATTTAATGTGAATAATAATTGGCTAATGATATCTTACTTGATTTTAATAGTACGTCCATTCTGTCTCTTATATTTGATTTATACATTTATATGTAAGTCTGTTATATTATATTATTATTGATTTGTTTTTGAAGAGTAAGTTGACTTAATTGATTTAAAAGTTATAAAAGTTAGGAGGAATTTGTTGATGCAACATGCTTCATACGTTTCTATTACATTTTTGTTAAATTATAATATTATTAACTAACACTTATGCATAAATTATTATAAACAGCTATATAGATATTTTGGTATTAATTAAGAAAATCAAAATCCACACGGCACACTTTTCCAGATAGTACACGACATTAACGTATATGAACAAATATTCTAAGAATATTTGTACATTCTTAAAATCATATTAAGAATTTTAAGCACGACCGTATATGTAAATACATCAAATACAATAAAGAAAGTCAAGATCGGTCAAATTTTGGATGTTACATGTAATACATTATATATGCTTTCATTAAATCAATTTATTCCAGATATAATTGCGAGCCGACAACATTCGGTTTCAACACAATCATTTTGAACCGCTAATAATCCCCCCTAAATTAGAAAGAAAGAAAGAAACAAAGTAAGAAGTTTATTAAAATTTTTTCGAAGTGGTTTACCAATACAAAATATAAATAGAAGAGAGCATTTAACCACAACACTAGATGTCTTAAGCGAAAATCATATTTAAAATTATAATAAATTAACGTAGATGTTTTGGTCAAGATTTGACCATCATCAGTACATACAAAATAAATAGCGATTAAGTAATGATCAATAGCGATTAAGTGATGTTCAACCTCAAGTTTCGTCAAATTACTCTGTTATCTCGTACCATAAGCGAATTAAATCGTTTTACAATTTTTTCTGACTAGCGTTTATTGTTTAATTTTATGTTTTTATTTTTGACATCTTTATTATAATTTTAAATATATGACTTTCGCTTAAGACATCTAGTGTTGAGGCTGAATGCTCTCTTCTATTTATATTTAGTAAGAAATTAATTGTGAAAAATATTACTTTAGCCAGGATTCAAACCTGGGATTTCTCGGGAACTTTCCGGGAAGAATATCTTAGCCAGCTTGACCACTAAGGCGATTCTTAAAATGTTTTATGAACATCTTTAGAAGTGCTATGGGTTATCTTAGAGATGTTCAACGGACGTCATTTTGGGATTATGATATCCGTGGATGGTCTCGGATATCCAATGGATATCCAAGGGACATATGTCCACATGTGTGAGATCCCACATGTCTTAAACAATATCTAAGAAACTCAATGAGATATCACAAGTATATATGCGTGAGTACATATGAAATCGTTATCTAAAATAAAAGGAAAATATTTTAGGTTATTATATTATGGAAGCGAAAAATATGTTATTGTCCCATTATTACATAATAAAATAAAAGATTAATTTAAAAAAATATATGTCAAAAAAATATAAGTCTTTGTAATTTATATATTCTTAGACTGCGTTTCACAAACGTTACTCGAATGCTTCTGTCCTTGTTATTCATCTAACGTTAAACAAGAATAAAATGATACACAAGTACACCTGTATAATATTTTCAAATGCAGCCTTAGTAATATTTAATATAATAATCTTTATAAGTTTCATATAAGATATACGAGTATCTTAATTAGTACGCAGTATGTCATAACGTTTATGTCCAAACTATGACATTCCTTACTTCTAATCTTTTAGTTCTGACACTTTCCAACTGCAAACCTTTTCTGTATTTTAGGCATCCTTAGGACATTTCTTAGAAAATTGTGTTATGTAGTGAAAGAATTTGAATGTGGTAGGATATCTTAAGATAATTATAGGATATCTTATGATATTCTACGATATTTTACAATATTTTCTTTGAATATCCTGGATGGAAGATTCACGGGATTACTTTGTCAATATGAGACAATTTGGGATATCCTTAGGATAAAGTGTACTATGTGGAAATAATTAATCTCTGTGATTGATATCGATTATATAATATCTGTATTAACTCATACAAAAAATATTCACATTCTTTGCATCTGTTTTATATACTTGAAGGCGCTATGCATAATAACGGTAACAAAATATTCATTCGCAAGATGTAAACAGATTAAAGATATAGAATTATATATAGATAGAACTAATACAGTAATCCAATCAATATTACACCAGAAACACAAACGCGCGCAATAGCTTTATCGTATTTCTTTTAGTTATTTCAAGATTTTACATTGACTCGTTGTACAGACTATCATGTTGTAATTTAAATGAATAGTTAATTTAAAATTTTATTTATCATAACATTGAAAATGATCCAATTAGAATTGAAATGTTTGTTTTAATAAATTTATGTTTTTATAGTTAAGCATTAAGCTCTAGCTTGGCTCGTAGCTCTTGTTTTACTTTTACAATAAGTTTTGTGTTAATATTCCATGTAATATTTTGTGTTTAATCATGTCAAACTTGTAGTGAATTCGATTGAATGCACTAGTGCGCACATGTTAAAGACATGTTGTATACTGATTAATCTGAGTGTAAAAGTAAAATGCAAGTGTTCCGAATTATATAATACATATTTTAACCAAACAATGAAATATATTAAGAATTTTGCAGTTTAATCCATTTCTATATTTATAGTTACATCTTTACATCAATTTGTGTAACGACAACTTTAATATGCACTAGTGTGCACTGAATGCGTCAGATTAAATTGATCACTATTAGAAAAATTAGTTATTAGATTAAGGATACAATTCATAAAGTTCGTATACGCACGAAAATAACTGTCAATTATTCGATGTCGCGATGCCTTTGTCAAGCTTTTCAATTAAAAAATCAAACGATCTTCTTTCTTGACATAAATGACACAACACGACAGCACGACAAAATCATATATTTCAGAAAATTACTCTTAAATCGGTCCGAAGACGATCAGTGAATGATAATCAATTATGGATAATCTGATCGATGTGTATTATCTGATCCAATTGATTGTCTGGCAGATTTTAATATTTTTGCGAGTACGTATTTTACACCTAACCCGTTTGTGAAAGAAACTGACAGTAATGTTTCTCTCTATTATTATATTTTTATGTTAACGTTATGATGTACTTGTTATCGCTTCGACAACAATTGAGTTATGCGAACTCCTTATTTCTTGTTACATTATATTAATACATGTAATATACCCGGCTTGCGATTACAATTTTATGAGTTACAGGACTTCGTCTTCCGCGAATTTACATGGTTTGCTCCTGCGGAGGAAGATCTCGATAACACGAGTTCAAAAATACGCGCCGTCACATCGCAGCATTCCGCCGCTGATCTTTTCATATTTCTCGTCATTTGTGGACTTCTCTTTACTTTCATGATATTGTCCACAAATTCTCCCAAGAGTGAAACATCGCGCTACAACATAAATAACATTGAGAAGTAAGTTCATACATTGCCTAATTACAGAACACTGAAAAATTTTTTTATATTTGTAACTATGTAATTACATTTTATTATAATTATAATTATTACTACTATAATGTTATTAATAATACATATATAGCTTTAACAACTGTATATAATTGGCCATTCAAAAATAAGTATAAATATAGTTGTTTTCTATTCTTGTTTCCACAAAAATAGTTGCAATTACTATAAATTATAGTTAAATATTTTTTCGGACAATCATTTAATGTAATTGTCCAAAAAATGATTACAATAGTAATTCCGATTACTGTTATGGTAATTTCAACCATTTTTATAATAACTGTAATTGTAATAATTTTTGGTCATAATCATTTTTGTTACTATATATGTAATTATTATCACTAATAGTATAACAGTAATAAATGTAGATAATAATTATAATTATAGTAACATATAAGTATATGGTTATACAAAAACTAATAATGTTTTTTTTATAAGAAAAGCTCGGCAATCTATAATCACTTATCAACTTTTTTGGGTGTGTAGTATGCATTAAAATTTGTTCTATAGTAAATCATAGAATGCACCATTCCATTATTCTTAAGAAAATATTTTTGAGCATCATTAATACTCTACAGAAAATAGGAATTTAAAAAACTTATTATATTTCTTGATGAATATTTGAAATAGAAGAATTTGCAATAATTGTTTCAGCAACTAACAATAATTAACTTTTAGGTTGACATTTATCATAGAAGCAGTTAAAACACAATAATTTGCACCAAGCACATAAATATAATGATTGTCATTTTATTTACTTTTTTTCAGTCTTTACATTTTGTTTCATTAACAGAATTTAAAAAGCAAACTATATTAACGTTTTTAAAAAAGATTTTTTTCTCTATTATTTAAGATAAAAACCATACATATTTTAGTATGTCATAAAAAACTAGTGCGCTCAACTGATTATGAATTAAGGAATGTATTTTAATAGCATCTTCACAATTGGTGATTTCTGTTGCCTTTAAGAAGGTACATACAATTTTGTAATTTTTCAATGAAATTTATTATAAAAATAAATTGTATAGCTAACATAATAAATTCATAACAAATTTATGGGAATGATCTGTTAAAAATTCCCAAATATAATATAAAAAATTGTTATAAATGATGGGGATATTCTATTTTGTTAAATAAATTATTTCACTAAAATACACTTCTTTATATCAGCTATGCGGTATATATTTTATAGACAGATTAAAAATGTCATTAAAACATTATAAAAAGCGCATCAGTCTTTTGTAACATGTTAAAATTTACATAATTTACATCTCAAATAATAAAGAACAGAAATCTTTTTAATAAAGTTAATAAAGTTTTTTTTTCTAGATTCTATTAATAAAACAAGATCTAAAGCCTGTGCAAATGGAATAACAATAATTATATAGGGGAGACTGGTTTATATTTTATTTACTAGTTATGTGCAAAAAATTCCTAAAAAAACTGTATCAGCTATTGTTGACGCACGCACGTATGCGCGCACGCACGCGCACACACATAGGTATGTAACATTAATAACGTTTATGATATACCTAATATGATAACTTATTGGATGGATTTATGCAGATAAAGTCTTCAATACTTGATCACATAGCGTATCCAGGATTTTTATATTTATTTAATTTTTTACTTGAATTTTTGTAAATTTAATTTTTTGAGAATGACCTTAATAATAGAATTTTAACTTTGGACTTTGCTTTTTCTCGCCATCCAACGATGAAATAGTTAAACTCACTTGACAATAAGATAATATTAAAGATTTATCAATTTTATTTGTAATGTCAAATTTATTGTGTTCAGCCTGTGATATGACTTTATGGTTTTAATATATTATATCTTCCTTTTCAATGTTTAATTATTATTATGATTTAATTATTATCATAAATTTTATTATTTCTTTTTTTTATTTTTCATATTTGAAGAAGATTTAGTACAATCGAAATGTTTCCGATTAGTTTGTAGGTAAAACTAGTTTAGAAGGTTAAGTAAAAAGGAGCATACAGCCACGCTAGAGATGTCAAAAAGTTATAATTCAATAATAAACATTTTACATAGAAGACGTTTCGGTCACCATTTGACCATCCTCAGTACAGAAATAAAAATAAAATAATAAACTCAAACTATTTAAATCTAGTTATTAAAATCTTATTCTTAATGTTAGTAAGTGTAATATCTCGCTTCTTCTTATGCGTTATTCGCATCGATGTCCGCATTTAACAATATATTGTTTTTTAATACAATCAATTTACATAATTTTTGACCGAATTAACATTAGAATGTACCGAATTCCTCTTTTTTCTATCGTGTGGAGTCATTTTCGATTGTAACTATTATCAGGCTGTCTCAAGTTCCAAAAACGACGACGAGCCGCCGCAGAGAGACACGCAAGTGATAGTTTCTATTGTGAAGCAAATATTTTTTGAAAAAACCGTTTCCCGTCATTTTATTTTCGTATTCTAACAATTTAGATCAGATGAATTTGTAATAGCCAAAGTATACACTT